CTAAATCCTTACCAGCTTTCTTACTATGTGTCCTTCCCGCTTGGTGTCTCATTATCATTTGAATTTGTTTTTCACTGATTATTGGTGAAGTTGGGCATTTTCACGAATCTTGCCATTTGAATTTCCTCCTTTACAAACTACCCTTATACATATTGTTGCCCTTTGTCTGTTGGGTTTCCTATGTTTAAAAAAAGGTTTGCTTATTCCCTTTGCAGTTATAAAAATTAATGGATTTTGTTTGGCTTTCTTACTATAAATACCACTATACTTATTTCTATTTTGATTTTCCTTTTAAAGGGAAAAAAGAGCTGTAGAAATTATTTCAAAGCCACAATAAAGTTAATTTTTTTTTTCTGTTTTAGTCCAGATGTCAGAGCATTCCTTCAAATGGACAGTCCAAAGCATCAGTCAGATCCATCTGAAGATGAAGACGAAAGAAGTACTCAGAAGGTAGTAAAAGGGATTGTATGTTTAGCAGGAAAAAATACCGTTCCCCAAAGATGAAATTTGTGACGACTTTAGGAGGACACGTTAATTTAAAACGGAATAATTTTGTCTATAGTAGTTGTTCTACTCTGTAAAAGACATGAAAATAATGTAATACCTCTTACTGATCACTGTTTCTTATAAAATTTACAAAATGAGTTGTTTTTCTAATTAAAAGTAATACATATTAATTAATGAAAATTTCAAAAACAGCAGGTAAGAATAAAAGTATTATCTTATTATCACCATCCAGATCTAGTAATTTATAATATTTCAATAATTTTCTCTCCAATTTCTTTTTAATATATAGGTTGTTTAAATTATTTCATTTTAATGATATTATGTATAGAATTGTATATTCTGTTTTCTTCACCTTACATTTTATATTTTGATCATTTTATATCCTTATCATCATTACTTTACTTAAAACTTTGTTTTGGGGACCAGCAGTTGGCGTAATGGTTATGTCACTGGACTCAAATGTAGTCAACCGTGGTTTGAGTCCTGGACCCCGTGGCTTAAACTCATACTGGGTGCCTGCCCAAGATCTCGAGAGGAGAATGGAGAAGGGATTGCGGCATGGCCATCCCCCCTGGGTTGTGATTTCTCGCTTTTTGTCTCTCGTCTCTGTCTTTCTGGAGAGCGCAGGCGCCTTATAGCAAAAACCTCTCCAAAAAAAAAAAAAAAAAAACTGTTTTGGATGTTGTGGAGCAGGAGACCTTTTCAAACAGATTACTAAGTATCCCTTTCTCTTTTATACGTTGAGCTATCATTACACACATACGTGTTGGCATCAACTAACTTATTTCTGTGGTATATGCACAGTATCAGTATGTTTTCCCAACAATCAATATATGTTCCTATTCTTGATTTCCAAGCCAGTTGTGACAGCAAATAAATAGAATAAGCTCAGACCTTATTATGAAGGTATTTCCAGCAGTTAACCTTAGAAAATTATGCAGGAAAGATAAATTATTTAACTTAATTCTAAGTATTACTATATAGCAATTAAAATGACTAGTGTTACAGAAATAGGACAGTACTTTTCTAATTTAAAATTCATTATAACTTATTAAATATATACATGAAAATCAGAGTTGTTGGGTGGAAACACATTTTCCTTTTCTTTTCTTTTCTTTTTTTTTCTTCAGGGTGTATGGGTGTGTGCACTTGTTGGAGAGAGACAAACGAAGAGAGTGAAAATGAGAAATCACTCCCCAGGGAGGATGGCCATAGGCCAGTCCCTTCTCCTCCATTCCCCTCTTGGGATTTTGAGCATGTGGGCACAAATGCATGGTGTGTTTTAAAGCCGCTGGGTCCAGGATTCAAACCGTACAGTCAGCCATATGGGATCCAGCCACCTTAACCTCCATGCCATCTTCTGGCTATACATTTTTCTTTATAACCCCATTTAATTTTGTTATGGTTCTGTTTCTGTAAATTAAATAATATTATGAGTGACAAAGTTTAAGTAACAGAGTATAAGAAGAAATAACATTTATGTAAAAAGCACATACAAATGGCAGGACCAGCAGATGGCATAATGGTTACATTGCTGACTCTCATGTGATTGACCATGGTTCAAGTCCCAGACCCGGTGACTTAAAACTAATGCTGGGGCATGTGTGCATGTGTGCCCAAAATCCTGAGAGAAGAATAGAGGAGAGGGGATTGTGGTGTGGCTATCCCCTGATAGGTGATTTCTTGCTTTCTGTCTCTCCAGAGAGTACACACACTCTATAGAAAAAACCTCTTTAAAAAACAAAACAAAAAAAGACATGCCAAGCATGTGTGCATGCATGCCCAAAATCCCAAGTGGAGACTGGAGAAGGGATTGTGATATGACCATCCCCCCTGGGAAGGGGGGTGATTTTTGGCTTTCTGTCTCTCGGGCAAGCACACAATCTCTTTAAACATACACATACACATACAAATGAATTTTTGAAAGGATAATACTTAATACCCTAGTAGATGGATGGAAAAGGGACATGAAGAAATTTTCTTAGTAACAAAACATGTGGGAAATATGGGACCAGCAGATGGCATAATGGTTATGTTGCTAGACTTCCACATAGTCGACTGCAGTTTGAGTCCCAGATCTGGCGGCTTAAAACTCACACCAGTCATGTGAACAGGTGTGCCCAAAATCTCAAAAGGAGAATGGAAGAGAAGAGATTGCAGTGTGGCCATCCCCCCCGGGGGGGGGGGGATTTTTACCTTTCTTTCTCTATGGAGACGTCCTATAGCAAAAATCTCTCTTAAAAAAATAATAAAATATGTGAGAAATAGTTCTGCATGCTAATAGCAAATCAACTTTTTAAAGGAGACATTTTTTTTTTTTACCAAATTAACAAAACTATAAATTAAAATATTGCAGGCTGGGCCAGTTGGTGGTGTGGTGGTTAAGGTGCCTGGATCACACATGGCCAACTTCACAGTTTGAGTCTTGGACCCGGCAGCTTGAGGAACACTCCAGGCACATGTATTTGCATGCCCAAAATCTTTTGAGAAGAAGGGATTGTGGCATGGCCATGCCCCTGGGGGCTGATTTCTCATTTTCTTTCTCATGGGCGAGCATAGATGCCTTATAGCAAAACAAACAAAAAAAAAGTGCAGTACTGATAAGGGTAAGGTACACTGAGCAGCCTTGGTTATTATTGGTGCCATTATAATTTCATGCATCTCTTTTGGAAAGCAGTTCAGTAATGTGTATCAAATATAAAAATATTCAGTTACTTAAGAATTGATGCAAATAAAATATATGTACAAAAAAGATGTTTATTTCAGTATGATTTATAATTAAAAAATTAGAATCATCTTAAGTATGCATTACTCAGGTAGTGTTTATCCCTATATATTGTGCATTTTAAAATATTTTTGAAGATAATATTAAAGTATTAAGGGAAATTAGTCCATATAGTTTTATAATCAGATTCATCCAGTATGAGCTGCAGTTAGTCTGAAAAAAATATGTGGAGCCAGCTTGTGGCATGGTGGTTAGGGCAATGGACTCCCACATGACTGACCACAGCGCAAGTCCCGGACCTGGTGGCTTGCTTTCTCTATTTGTCAACTGCCCCTTCATCTTTCTCTGATGACTATAGCAAGTTAAAAATAATGATAATAATAAAAGAAGTAATTCTTTAAATACTCACACACACATACCACACACACACACATAGAGGGGCCAGCAAGTGGTGGGGTAGTTAAGGCACTGGTCTCCCACATGACCAATGATGGTTTGAGTCCCAGACCTGGCAGCTTGCTTTCTCATTTTCCCTCACATTCTCTGTCTCTCTCTGGTGAATGCACGTGCCCTGTAGCAAATTAAAAATAATAATGGGGGAACCAGCAGTTAGTGTAATGGCTATGTTGCTGGACTTTCACATAGTCGACCACAGTTCGAGTCCCAGACCCAGTGGCTTAAACTCATGCTGAACATGTGTGCGTGCATGCCCAAGATCCTGAGAAGAGAATGGAGGAGAAGGCATTGTGGCGTGGCCATCACCCCTGGAGAGTGATTTCTTGCATTCTGTCTCTCTGTCTCTCTGTCTTTCTGGTGAGTGCACATGCCCTATAGCAAAAATATAAAAAGTAATAATGATAATGGTAAATGGAATTAAATAGTTCTTTTGAAAAATGCATATAAAGAGACATAAGAAATTAATGTAAATATTTGCAAAATCATTTGCTGATAAGGTTGTAGATTTTTTAAAAATACTTTTTTTCCTGGGCTAGTAGCATAGCCCAGTGATTAAGCACTGCTTAAGATGGTGGGCCTCACATGGCCAACCACAGTTTGAATCTGAGTCTTAGCAGCTTGAGAAACACTCAGGGCATATATGCATGCATGCCCAAGGCCCTGACCAGACAGACAAATGGAGAGAAAGGATTGCCACATGGCAATCTCCAACAGGATCCTCATACATGGCTATGCCTCATTCGAGGGTGCTTTCTCTTTCTCTCTGCAAGCACATATACTCTGGCAATTAAAAAAAAAATTATACCTTTTTCTTAATACTTTCTATATTGTCAAACAACGAGTATATATTTTTAGTTGAAAAGATTAAACTATTTAAATAATAATTTAAAGAATAAAATCTATGTAACCAAAATTTTCTGTTTTGCTTGCTGTTTGAGAGTATGTAGATTTAGGTCATTTGAAAATGTCTAGCCAGCAGATAGCATGGTGATTAAGGCAACTAGATCCCACAGGGCCAACTGCACAATTCAAAGTCCCTGATTCAGTGGCTTAAAACACACACCTACTGGCTTGTCCTAAATCCCAAAAAGAGAAAGAAATGGAGAAGGGATTGTGACATGACTGTCTCCCATGGGAGTGCTTTCTTCCTCTCCTACCCCCTTTGGCACGTGCAAATACCTTCTGGCAAAATTTATTTATGTATGTACATATATCTTTACTTATTTTAGTTTTTGCCGTAGGGTGCATGTACTCGCTGGAAAGAGACAGAGAGAGAAGGAATGTGAGAAATCCCAGGGGGATGGCCTAGCTTCAATCCCTTCTTCTCCATTATCCTCTCAGAATTTTGGGCATGCATGCATAAGTGCCTGGTGGCTTAGCTGGATCCAGAATTCAAACTGCTTAGTCAGCTATGTGAGATCCAGCTGCCTTAACCACCATGGAATAGCTTTGCCTTGGCAAAAATTTTTTTAAAAAGAAAAGAAAACGTAAATGTCTTTTTTTATAGGAGACAGCTGGCTTTTTTCCCTCCAAAGTTTATTTCCTGCATATGTGAGAGAGCCAGAGGCATCCCCAACAGGATCCTCATGCCATGACTCAGGTCCCAGCCAACCCAGTGCATATGCCCAGTGAGGTTCGAGGTCACGAATTCAGGACCTCTTCCATATGGGTCCACCTGTGCTAGCACTGTACCAATGCTTGGTTCTGACAGCTGTCTTTGAAGAAAAAACTAAACTCAGAGGTTCTTGGATGAGGCTTCTATTAACAACTTAGTATCTGAGTTTGGTTTCTTTTATGTTTTTCTTTATCTATAATGTCTGAGAAGCTCTTGAAAATTTTAAAATACTGATTAAAAAAAATTTTTTTTAAAGGAAAAGGGCTATACCTGTGTTACACTTGTAATTATGTAAGGTCTTTAAGTGGATAGTAAATCAAGTTCATAGCTGCAGAATGTTCTAGAGGGACATCTATACCTATCCCCTTATTTTATAAAGAGAAAAATAGAGGCTGAGAGAAGTCAAGGAATTCACGATCTCAGTAGGTATTCCTTCTATTAATAAATTATACCTCTGTCTCTATTTAAGGATTAGATGTCATCTTTAAAAATAGTAGGTACAGGCCCAGCTGTGGTAGCTTGCTAGAAGAGTGCTGCTCAGCAGTCCCAGACCACATGGGAGCCCCAGGTTCAATTCCTGGCCCAGCCTGAAGGCTCAGCTTGATGGTACACACATGTGTCCTAGCTACTCTAGGAGGTGAAGCAGGAGGATTGTGACATAGTAAGGCCCTGTCTAAAATAACACATGCACACAATGCAAATACTAAATACCCTGAGCAGTTGTCCAAGTACATATCCCAACGGTTTTCATCATCTCAGAAATGTGTTCCATTGGGAAAATATTTGCCAAATAATAACAATCAAATTACATATTAATGTAATTTGGGGGAGAAATTGTCCATGTTGTTTATTTAATTGATGTTTATTTAATTTTCTTCTCTCACCTACACAAGTTTATCAAACTGGGACCAGCAGTTGGCATAGTGGCTATGTCACTGGACTCCCTTGTAGTTGACCACAGTTCGAGTTCCAGACCCAATGGCTTAAACTCACGCCAGGTGTGTGTGCGTGTGTGCCCAAGATCCCAAGAGGAGAATAGAGGAGAAGGGATTGTGGCATGGCCATCCCCCAGGAGTGATTTCTCACTTTCTGTCTCTCTGTTTCTCTCTGTCTTTCTCGCGAGCACATGTGCCCTATAGCAATAATCTCTCAAAAAAAGAAAGAAAGAAAAAAAAAGTTTATCAAACTGATCCATTTATATGCATATTCATTAAAGGATTAAGTATATTGAAATTACAACTTAGTTTGAATTTTGTTGCCAGATTCTGTGTAATATTTAAACATAAAAGTTACTCTAGTGTTAAAATTATGCAACAATAGAAGAAATTTCATTTTTTAAGAGAGAGATATTCATTCATTTATTCATTCATTCATTCTTTTGCTGTAGGTCTTGTGCACTTGCCAGAGAGACAAAGAGACAGAGTGCAAGAAATCATCTCCCGGAGGGGATGGCCACACCACAATCTCTTCTCCTTTATTCTCCTCTCAGGATTTTGGGCACATGCACACATGTACCCAGCATGAGTTTAAACCACCAGGTCTGGGACTTGAACCACTGTCAACTACGTGGGAGTCCAGCCATGTAACCAGTGTGCCATCTGCTGGTTCCAAGAAATCTCATTTAATAAACCAGAGTTTATAAATTTTTTTAACCGTAGCTGTACTGTTAGGATTATATTTATGTCTGTCTTATGGGGACTGAAAATTTATTACGGGAAGATTTTTTTTGTGTGTGTAAAAGTATTAGTAGGTAGTAAATTTAAATTCTTTTAAAACTGGTGCAAATATTATTTTTCATAGGAAAGGTATTATATTGATACTTAGAACTTTTGAAGCATATAAATATATATGTTTTTCATTTTAAAAAATAGTTTACACTGGGGCCAGGTGGTGTGAAGGTTAAGGTGCCAGGTTCCCACATGGCCAATCACAGTTTGAGTCCCAGACCGGGTAGCTTGAAAAATCACACCGGGTAGGGAACCAGCAGTTAGTGTAATGGCTATGTCACTGGACTCCCACGTAGTCGACCGCAGTTCGCGTCCCGGACCCGGTGGCTTAAAACTCACACCAGGTGCGTGTGCGTGCGTGCCCAAGATCCCGAGAGGAGAATGGAGGAGAAGGGATTGCGGCATGACCATCCCCCTGGGGGGGTGATTTCTCACTTTCTGTCTCTCTGTCTCTCTCTGTCTGGCGAGCACACGTGCCCTATAGCAAAAACCTCTCAAAAAAAAAAAAAAAATCACACCGGGTACATGTGTGAGTGTGCCCAAAGTTTCAAGAGGAGAATGGAGAAGAAGCGATTGTGGCATAGCCATCCCTTGAGGAGTGATTTTTCACTTTCCCTCTCTCTGGCAAGCACATACATCCTACCACAAAAATCTATTAAAAAATTTTATATTCTGGAGACTGTGATTTTGAAATTGAAGTAAAAATGTATATTATAAACATATCCAATAGGAAATTTGATAAGGTGAAATTTTCTTGATTCTGATTGAAGTTTCAAGGTGTTTTTTAATAGTTATAGTTTATATTAAATATAATTATTATAGGGCTCTAGTAAAAGATACATATATTTAAGGCATTTGTAACTGATTCAATTCTCTGAATATATAAAGCATTTCAAGTAAATATATGTGAAGAACAATTTACTTAATACTTGACTTTTTAAAAATCACACTGAGAATCACAGGGTTAATCTTTCGGGATTTTGAGTTAAATTTCTAGCTAATTATTAGCAAACTAGAATCTTTATTAGTTAAATTGCTTCCTGGCATACTAGGTGAGTAAAGATTTGCTTCTGAGCTAATACCAAGGAGTAAATTTACTATGTTAACCATTGTAAGGAGAAAAGTAAAATTTCAATACTACCACAATGGTAGAATTAGAAAGAAAAGCATTGTTTTCTGTTTGCTTTAGAAACAATTTGTAATAACATTATCATCATCCTGTAGTTTTGTCTTTAATAAGCTATTTGAATATTTTTAAAAAAATGGTTTCAACCAGCTTTTTCAATGTAGAAATGACCCCTCTTAATTTATGGTTTCAATATTCACCACTTCCAAGGAATTTTCCCAAGCTCACTTCATTCATTGGCCAACTTTGAGGTTGATTTCTGGCTTAGCCTTTTCCTTGAAAAGTTATATGCTCTTGAAATTTATTATAATAAAAAATGATTATGTTATATTGGTTATGTATGTTTCCATGTCAGCCTGTATTTTTTTTAAGAATTAGGATCTCTGGTTTCTTTAATATAGGAATACAGCAAATATCTGTGGCAGTTATGCATATTTTATTTTAAAATATTTATTGACTGATAATCTTTGAGACTCCAATAAGAATGTTTTTTTTTTTTAATCCAAACAGCTTAACTCTACCTCACAGAACATCAACCTGGGACCATCTGGAAATCCTCAGTAGGTTTTAATTTGTTTCAAATGATCCTTTAACTAAATTTTAGGACAGCCTTTTCTGGGAATGTGCAGATATCCGTAATTATACCAATTTAACTAGAGGCTTATGAAATATAACCATAGTTACAGTGAATATAGTACTGTCATATGTTTGACTAATTTACTGTTCTAGCTTTTCACTGCTTTAATAGAACCCTGAGGAGTTTTTAATCTACAGATTGTTCATTGGAATCTGCTATTTTGTCACTGTCATTTTCCTGGTTGTGTGTGTGTGTGTGTGTGTGTAAAATAGTTGACCATATGTCCCAAGAGACCCTAAGTCCTGTGAGGTGTTTTGAAAATAAGCATGCTTGCAGGCTTAATTGATGTCCTCCTATTTGTGCAGTGTTTCTAGAACACGCTAGTCGTTACCTAGCTTGCTCCGGAGGAGCCACAATGGACATGAGCGCCTCAAACGCTGTTCAACTGTGTTTATCCAGCGCCCCTCACCCCACATTCCCATATTTATTTGAGCACAAGGGAACCATTTTGAGGAACCCAGCCTGAGAATATTAACAAGACCAGGGGTGGCAAGTACAGGCTTCATCTCATGTCAGCTCCAGCAATTCATTGAATATAAGACTTGAATGCCTAGATCACACAACACAAAAAAGTTCTAAGGCCACTTTTTGTCTCAGTTTGAGGAGCACCAGTACTAACTGTGTCTGCCATGGGTTGGACAAGAGGTATAGTGTTGCCATGCTTGCTTATAATTATCCCTACAGGCTTACTGGATTCATTCCAAGGCATTCCTCTACCTCATGACATCTCACTTTTTCTGTCTACTAAGAGAGTGAGCATAGACAGAGGAAAAAAGTGGTCCAAGGATTGAGTCCTGGATCATTTCAACATCCTGATGTCAAAAAAGAACTGGTAATGGAGACTGAGAATGAGTAGTCAGTAAGTCTGGAGGAAAACTAGGATTATGGTGTCCTGAAGTCAGGGGAGGGAAAGGTCCGGAGGAGTGGGTAACTAACACCTTTATGAGCAGTTTGAGTGAGGTAGTGGGTATAAGGCCTCAATAGGAAACAGTTCAAGAGAAAACTAGAGGCAAGGACAGCAGGTAGAAACAATGAGTTTATAAAACGTACTTGGTTTTGCTGTAAAGGGAAGCAAAGAAGTGAGATGGTAGCCAGAAGAGGAAATTTGGTTTGAGGATTGTTTCTTTACTTTTTTCTTTTTTTTTTTTAGGATTGTTTCTTGATATTTAGAGCATTGTGTCAGACAGCACAGAAGTGGAAATTGCTTTTAGTTTGGGTTCTTTACCAGCAGTTAGCAGTGGGGCCTTGGATATGACCTCTGTTAAGCACAGTTGTGTTTACATTTATTTTTTAAATTTTAGTATCTCAATAAAACTAAAGAACAAAATAGTCCAAAGAACAGGGTTCTGAAGAAGAAAAACATCTAAATTTAATTAGGTAGTTATCACACTAATCTTTACCTATTATTATTTAACCTAGCCCCTGGTAATATTCTCATGTTTGCATTGACTGTTTTTCTTTTTGTCATAAGTTGAATAAAATCTAAATAAAATCATTCTCCCCCTTAGTACAACTTGGGAATTCAGAGGGTGTTAAAGAAAGCAGTTCTGCGTACTCGAGTGCAACTTCCTGCCGTGTGATTTTGCCCTTATACTGCTAATGGTGTTTTTACCTGATAGGGTAATTTAAAAGAACAGTCTTAGTACTCCCTCTGGCTTTTCTGTTTCTGGCTTTCCTGTATTGTCATCCATAAGAATAATCAGAGAAGGCTTTTATCTCTAATGTACACTAAGAGATTTATATATAAAACATTGACGTGGCTTTTTTCTCCATCAGAAATTTTTCTTAGCATCTGTACTAGGTGTTCCAACTAGTAATTTCCTTTTCAGAAGAAAAAGAAGATACTAGATAATCCTTGTAGTTTATCACTAATTTGCAAAGTGATTCACTTTTCTCATTATCAGCATTGGTTCATAGTTAATAAAATTGGTTTAAATAGAAGGTACATTATTTATGTACAAAAGTATGTATGTATAGGATGTGCACTGTTCATTTCTCCCAAAGAGAGTATTATTGAAGCCTCTTTCAGAACATAACAAGGTTTAAATAATGGTATAAAATGTTTTATCTGATCAGAAAATAGGTATTATCACTACTCATTACTACCTATTGTATATTAAAGATGAGATACCACCAGCAGGAAAGCTAAAGTCACCATGCTAATATGTTTTATATCTAATATGTGTGTTTATTAAAGAGTGAGGTGCTGAGAAGTGTTTAAAGGTTGACATCTTTTCATTTCCTAGCAGGCTAATTCTTGTCATTGTTAATTTTTTTCAGTGCTAAACCAACTGATTTTGATTTCTTAAAAGTTATTGGAAAAGGCAGTTTTGGGAAGGTAAGAATGTTTTTCTTTCTCACCCAGTAAGTTTTTAGAGAATGCATGCTGTATATGTGTGAGCCATAAGACTTTTTGGTATGCAGGATAAGGAGTTAAGATATTTTCCTTACCTTAAAAATAATAACAAATAATTAGGGAGATAAGGTATCTTTTCAATTCTAAAATAAAATTCACTTGTTCAAGGGTTATCATTGAGCACCTGTTAGGTGCCAATTACCTTTCTGGGCCCTGGTTAGATACTGTTGAACAAAACTGACATGGTTACTACTTTGTGGTGCTTACAACCTAGTGGGGGAAAG